GGGGGGGAGAGAGAGGTGTGAGGGGGAGGGAGAGAGAGGTGTGACGGGGAGTGAGGGGGAGCATGTACAAGCGTGTGTCCCTCTGTTGAATGCTCTTCACTAGCTGAGGGCAGGGCCTGGGTCTCCGCCAGCTGGCTGGCTGATCCGTGGCATCCCCAGTGCATCTGAAACACTGCCTAGTTACAAAGCTTTACTCCCTTTCTAGAAGGCTGGGTACCCACGCAGGCCTTTTTATTCTCTCGTGATGTTTTAACTTCCCATTGCTCAGAAAACGTTACCTCAGCCTTAAGAACAAATGGACTCCACAAAAATTATTCCTATTAGAAGCGGCCTGGAGGTGGAGAAGTTTCCTCGTCTCATACTCCCTGATAGAAGCCAAAGTATTAAGCAACATGGAGTGTGGCTCCCCCTGGTGTCCCTTAGCAGAATGGCACCGGGAGGGAGCAAAGACGGCTCCTTGGCTCCCGAGTGTCTGAAGTGGATCAAGACTCCTTCTTCTCTGGGGCTTTCCCCCAGGGGGCCCAGGGGGGTCCGGGGGGCCACTCAGCCCCCGGTCACTCACATCACCCTGGTTCTCCCTGCGGTCCTGCCTCTGCTGGTAGGTGTATCGCATTCGGCCATTGCTGTAGACGTGGACGTTACCTGAAACGTGGAAGGACCGAGTCAGGGGTACGCTTTCCGACCCCATCCCCCGGGGGAGCAGCCTGTGGACTTACTGGAGGGAAAGCCGCCGCCAAAGAACATGTTGAAGAGGTCTTCGGGGGAGATGTCGGCCTCAAAGCCGCGGTGGAAGTCCCCGTGGCTGTGGCCGTGCCGGGCGGCCTGGCTCTTGTCGTCACCAAACTGGTCGTACTGTTTCCTTTTCTCGGGGTTGCTGAGGACGGCGTAGGCTGTGCCGATGGCTGGAAGCGGGGAAAAGATGAGGCTTTAGAAGGCTGGGTGCAGGTGGGGCCCCAGTATAGCCCAGAGCTTGCTTCCTTCGGGTCTCAGGGGAATGGGGGACTTGGGGGCAGAGACAATTTGCTTGTTGAGCAAGCGCTGGGGAGCAGGTGATCAGGAGCAGCCTAGTCTGCGGTCTGGGCTGCGGGGAGGAGCATCAACACTCAGGCTCGCTAAGTAGCCCAGGGTGCCCTCCAATGCTTTATCCTCTTGTCTCTACGCTGGGGTAGTAGGCATGAGCCTACACCTGCTTCAGATGTGTCCTGTTCAAGATCTTTTACGTCGCACATTCTCATCCGTGGGGTGCCCGAGACAGGGCAGTACAATCCTGCAGTCACGGTGTGACTCCAAACAATGGACGCCGGGGGCCCCGGCATTGTAAGGGGAGCAGCAGACACTGCCAGCACGGGAAAACCCCCTGGTTCCCGGTGGGGACTCCCGTGTGTCTGGGTGTGCGGCCAGGATGAGTCCGCTCTCCCCAGGGCCCAGGGCCCAGCTGCTGTTTTCTGCTTGGCCCTGAGGCCTCCTCACCAGAGCTCCCAGAGCAGGCCAGCGCCTCCCAGGGCCCTGCTCCCCTCCGCTCCCCCCACTCACAGCAGTGGGCTACAGGCTTGTTTCAGAGCGGGGAGCCCTGGGAAGGAGGACAGAACCCTCCTTTCCCATCTGACGAGGTCGTATCACTGTCACAGGCTTCCCACCCGACTGCTGCTCTGACCCAGTACCTCACAACAAGGCTCACAGTCCTCACCCCCCCCACCCCCCAGGGGAACGGTACCCAGGGACCAAGAAAATGCAAGGCCCCGCGACACAGGGCTGGTATGGAGGCGGTGCACATGAGTGCCAGAGAGGAGGGAAGAGGACAATCTGAATGCATAAAGGATGCCTTATGGTTTGGGCCAGAGGTGACACACCCATTTCCCAAATCACTAACAGGCTCTGGAGTCAGAAGATGCTCTGTCCCTGGTGCAGGTCTGGGGCAGTGGTGGGAGGCTGACCCTGACAAGTGTCCTGAGGAAGCCCTCCATTTCGGGGCTCTCAGCACAGGGGCAGCCCGATGTGTATGTGAGTCAGGAGTCTGCTCCTGCCCGAGGTGCTGTGAGACTCTGGAGAAGCCATCCAAACTCTTCCTGGAACCCGGAAAATGAAGGGAAGGCAGGACTGGCCTGTGTGAGAGTGCAGTCTATACAGCTAGAGGAGGCTGCTGGAACCTTCTCAGGGAGTGCTTCTGGGCAAGATTACCTTCTCCTGCCCCCACATCCGGGGAGAGCTGCCTCGGCCCTGTATTCTGAGACAGGACATAAAACACCAGAATGCCTGGACACGGTGGCGCACACCTATAATCCCAGCATTTCGGAGGCAGAGGCGAGGGGTCTCTGTGAGTTCCAGGCCAGCCCAGTCTACGTAGCAAGAGAACCAAGCAAACTAACCAACAAAGCCCCCACACCCCAGGGCCGGTTTACCTTTGAAAGCTTCGGTGGCGCCAGGGGCATGGTTCTTGTCTGGATGGAACTTGAGGGCCAGTTTGCGGTAGGCCTTCTTCAGGTCCTCCTCTGAGGCACTCCTGCTCACCCCAAGGATCTCGTAGTAATCTTTACACTGCTTGACCCTGGAACAGGGACAAGGGCGTGATAGGGTGCCTGAGGTGAGGTGTGGGGACAGGCGGTGTGTGACACACGGCTCAGGGCAGGTGTGGGGGGGACCAGAACTGGGTCAGCTGTCTGCCTGGAGGGGCGAGGGGACCGCAGGGAGCTCCTTGGCTTGGGGGACTGGGCAGGGCCTGCTGGAAACACCATGAACACAAGGTTAGGCTTTCACAGGGGCCGCTGCTGTCTTTGGCTCCCTTGCAGGAAGCTGCCTTGGAAGGACCTTGAGTGTCTGTGAGGCAGGGGCAGGTGCATCCTGCTGACGACGATGGCAGGCATCTGCTCACCCCAAGCACAGGACCCTGAAGAAATGCCCTCCTGCTGCGACATACCTCCCTTTCTGCGCCCGTGGAGGGCCCACACTGGTTGGCGCCCTGGAGGACTTCTCAGGCCCTGGGGTCTGCTTCTATCGGCTACAGCTAGTGGACGCATGTGGTTGGAACTGTGCCTGGTTTTGACAGACCACTTGGTCACACTTACTCATACTCAGCTTGCCTGCCAGGAGGTGTGAACTTGACCTCAGAAGGATTCTGAGGCTAGCTGGTGGGAGAAAAGAAGGTTGGGAGGGCCTAGTCCTGAGTGGTCCTGGCTGGTGGTGTCAGGCCTGAGAGAGCTTCACTCTGCCCGCCTTAGGGACATAACTCTGCCTCTGCCCCCTGCCCACAGGCTCTGGTCTAAAAAGGCCTTTGTTAGGGGTAGGGTTGGGGGTAGAATCTGGAGGGCAAGATGGCGGTGTCTTTGTGTGGCAAACAGAATGTGGGAGGCTTAGGGCTGGTGGCCAGGAAGGCACTGATTGGCAACGTCTCCAGTCTGGACTGTCAGTGGCTGTGGTGGTGGGTGGGCAGTGAGGCCTTGGCTCCCACCTCTTCCAGGCCACAGGATGAAGTGAGGAAGGCTTCCCTACCCCCACCCCCAGCCCCCCACCCCACCCCATGGCCTCTACCTTTTCACGGCCGCCACTTGCTCTGAGGTGTATCCCTTGGCGCTCTCTCCTCCTCCTGCCTCGCCGTTGGCTGAGGGGGTTTCCGTCCCGCCTGCCTTCCTGTGGGTGGTGCGAGATGTGTCTGTGGGTTGGGGTTGATCACCGGCAGACTGTGGTTTTTGGTTGAGGGACTCGATCAGAGCTGGGAAGGAAAAAGAAGCCACCCAGGGTCACTTGGCAGGTCTGTCTGTGGAGGCCGACCCCTGCGTCCACTCACCACCCTCCCAGCAGGGCCACTGGACCTGACTTGGGCCTGTTCTTTTAGGAGCCCCAGTTCTCAGGAATAGGAATATTACAGATTTAAAAATATTAGCAATGTTAATTGTATTAACAGATCCATGTGATTCATGGAACTAAAGTAATTACCTTCCTTATTTTCAGATCTTCTGTTCATGTATGCATTCACTTTCTTTCTTAGTAAGTTGTACAGAGAAACACTTGTCGGTCGGCACAGTGTTTGCTACCAGACCCAAAGTCCCAGCACTACGACACACACGATCATGGTGGCACACACCTTAACCCCAGTTCTCAAGACCTGGCTCTCCGGACCCTCAACTACACCGGGAGTCGGAGGCCAGTCTGGGTGCGCGAGAGACCCTGCCTCTAAAAACAATCAACAAAAACCAACAACAAAGAGGAGCTGGGTCTGGTGGTGTATGCCTTTAATTCCAGCATTCTGAGGCAAAGGAAGAGGCAAGGGGGTCTCTGAGTTTAAGGCTAGCCTGGGGAACATGGTGAGTTCCAGGCCAGCCAGGCCCACACAGTGAGACTCCACTAAAACAAACAAACAACAATCCAAAGAAAACCCCACATCCACACCCTCAAACAACAAGAGGCCTGGGCGAGATCGGCTCGGCAGGAAAATGAGCCTACAGCCAAGACGAAGGACCGGAGCTGACCCCCAGGGCCCAAACGGGAGGAGGACCAGCTCCTCCAGACTGCCCTCTCTAGTCCTCACGCAAATCACATACACACAGAGAAAGAGAGAATGAGAGAGAGACAGACAGAAGAGGAGGAGGCGAGAGGAGAGCCAAGTGTACCGTGGGGCATGGGAGCACAAGCTTTTGACCCCAGTACTCGATGGCTTCCAGCCAGGCAGAGATACACATAAACCCCGTCTTACATAAAGAAATGCAACCCAAAGAAGAGCACATTGTGTCCGACTAATGAACCCAGCAGTATTTGACCGACAATTCAGTTACTTTTCCTTCTGCTGTCCTTTGGACAGGGTCTCGCTAGGCAGTCCAGGCTGGTCTCAAATTCACCATCCTCCTGCCTCAGCTTCCCAAGGGCTGGATTACAGGTGAGCACCACCATGCCAAGCTTGATGCTTCCTTGGTATCTCTTTCAATGTACTTGATTGCTTTACTACGCTTTTCTGAATCATCCTTCTACGGACCCAACTCAGACCTGCACACCCCCTCAGCACGGCATCCCACTCTGGAGACTCTGTCCTCAGCACCACCTCCCACTGTGTTTTCTATGTTTATACGGGCTCTTGAAAATGCTTTAATATTAAGTGGATATCATTAATGCAAAGCTAACACTAAGTCCAAGTTCATGTTAATTTTAGTGTTTCCTAGTTTAAATATCTGCTTATTAACACAGTGCATCAGAATTATAAACTGTTTAATATTCCTAGTTTAGATTTAATAGTAGTATTTCCTTTTAGTTGAAAACAGTAGTTTTTCCCTCATTGTGGTAAAAACAGAAAATCCACCATCTTAACCCTTTTGTGTGTGTAGGCCAGAGTCACCGGGGGACATCTTCCTCGCTAATTTTTGAGACAGGGTTTCTCACTGAACCTGGGGCTTGCTGACTTGGCTAACTAGCTGGACAGGGGACTCCCCACCCCCCATCCTCCTGTCTCCACTCCAGTGCTGGGGTCACAGGTGTGTACAACTCAGCCTGGGCTTTGTTAGTTGCTGGGGGGTCTGGATTCAGGTCCTCAATCTTTTTGCTTTTTGTTTTTGTCCCCGCCCCCCAGGGTTTCTCTGAGTAGCCCTGGCTGTCCTGGAACTCACTCTGTAGACCAGGCTGGCCTCAAATTTACAGAGATCCACCTGCCTCTACCTCCTTAGTGCTGGGATTAAAAGTGTACACCACCACACCCAACGTAAATCCTCATTCTCATGTGTTCAGCATCTCAGATTTAGTACTTATCTTCTAGTTCTCAATCTTTTTTATTTATTTATTTTTATTTTTAATTTTTTGTGGTTTTTTCGAGACAGGGTTTCTCTGTGTAGCTTTGCGCCTTTCCTGGAACTCACTTGGTAGCCCAGGCTGGCCTCGAACTCAGAGATCCACCTGGCTCTGCCTCCCGAGTGCTGGGATTAAAGGCGTGTGCCGCCGCCGCCTGGCTTAGTTCTCAATCTTAACCCCTTTTAAGTGTAGAAATATAGGGCATAGGTGATTTTACGTTTTGGACATTTTTTGTAGTCCAGGCTGACCTTGAACTCCCTATATCACTAAGGATAACCTTGAACATCCTGATCCTCCGTTTCTGCCTACCAAGAGACTGAAGGCATAGGCTGCCTCCCTTGGATCCATTTCAAATGAACTTTATTATTTGCAGCACTGGGGGCCAAACCTGGGCCTCACGTATGCTGAGCAAGCGCTCCACCAAAGAGCAACACCCCAGGCCACTCTTTCCTTTAATTCTAATTGTGTGTGTGTATTGGTGCTTTACTAGCACAGATGCCTGTGTACCGCATGCATGCATGCCTGGAGTCTAGAGAGGACAGACGAGGGGGTCAGAACCCCTGAAACTGGAGTTGTAGAATGTCGTGAGCCTTGTGGGTGCTGGTGATCAAACTCGGGTCCTTGCTTTGTAGACCAGGCTGGCCTTGAACTCACAGAGATCTGCTTGCCTCTGCCTCCTGCGTTCTGGGATTAGAGGTTTACTCAGCCAGTGCTCTTAACTGCTAAGCCTGTTCTCCAGTCTGACCCTTCAGATTCTTTAAGTCCAAAGCAGTATGCTCAAGAGACATCCTCCGCTGGGTACAGAGGACAGTCTTCTGCCGGGGTGGATGGGGGTGTGTGTCAGCAGCCTGTCTGATTCAGTGGGGCTGGCTGGGATGGTCAATTCTTGGAGCCTTTGCTTAGCAGTGATGAGGAATGGGGGGACTAAGTCTGTCCCAGGAGACCAGAGCTGGGGACTCAGGAAAATCCCTGTGCAGGTTTCTCCTGTTGGGTTTCTTTGTGGTCCTAGGGACTGAAACCGGGACAGTGACCACGCCAGGCAAATGTTCACCATGTGGCAATTCCCTCAGCCCTACGTTATATTTTATTTATTTATTTAGGAAGGGTCTAATGTAGGCCAGGCTAGCATCCAATTGTCTATGTAGTTGAGGATAAACTTCCTGTTTCCACCTCCTGAGTGCTGGGACTACACGTGTGTGACACCAAGCCCCAATTATTATTGCTTATACATATTTATTTCATGTGTAAAGGTGTTTTGCCTGCACATATGTCTGTGTATCATGTGCTGTGGATATCGTTCTATATAAATAAATCACTGATGGCCAGTGACCAGGCAGGAAGTAGGTTGCCAGGCAGGAAGTAGGTGGGACAAGGAGAGAGGAGAATTCTGGGAAGCAGAAGGCTGAGGAGGGAGACACTGCAGCCACTGCCAGGACAAGCAGCATGTAAAGACGCCGGTAAGCCACCAGCCACGTGGCAAGGTATAGATTTATAGAAATGGGTTAATTTAAGATATAAGAACAGTTAGCAAGAAGCCTGCCGCAGCCATACAGTTTATAAGTGATATAAGCGTCTGAGTGATTATTTTATAAGTGGATTGTGGGACTGCGGGGCTTGGTGGAGCCTGGAGAGAAGCCCTCCAGCAACAATCACGTGTCTTCTGATGCCCATAGATCCCCCTGGGACTGAAGTTACAGAGAGTTGTGAGCCGCCATGTGGTGCTGGGAATTGAACCTGGGTCCTTCCAAGAGCAGCCAAATGCTCTTAACTGCTACATCATCTTTCCAGCCCTACTGGTATACTTTTTAAACAGCTGGCCATGTCAAATCATCTACTTCATTGAGGCCTACATGAGATGTCACCCTAAAACAGGATCACGGTGATTCAAATCCAAGCTTTTTGGTTCCTTCTGACTCAGCATCCCCAAACCCTAGCAAATGCCGAGTCATAAGAGGCTGCAGTGTCCGGGCTAGAATTCCACAGCTCTTGTCAGGCCCCTGGAAAAACAATGTACCTGCATCCTTGTTGGGACCCAGGGCACCTGTGGGCTGGGAAGAACCGTGGCACAACTCAGACCAGAGTTCTTCCTGGTCTCAGGAGTCACAGCTCCGCACTGAGGGCCAGTTACCTTTCACACTGTACACCTCACTCACACCCAAGGCTCGCTGGGAACTGAGCGCTGGGTTCTGGCGGACCACGGCACCCCAGCCATGGCTGGCTCGGTGCAGGAAACTTGCTCCATCTCCCTAGGATTAGGCAATTCAAACAGCAGCTGCCAGCAGAGTTTATGGCACATAGGGAGCGGAGGCTTTGACTCAGCTCCAGGGAATACTTGGAGAAGCATCAGTAGCTGGGTATAGTGGTGTACACCTGTAATCCTAGCCCTTCCCCCTCGAGACAGACAGACAGACAGACAGACAGACAGACAGACAGACAGACAGACACACACACACACACACACACACACACACACTCCCTTGGTTATTGAGACAGGGTTTCCTCTGTGTAGCCCTGACTGTCTTGGAACTTGCTCTGTAAACCAGGCTGGCCTTGAACTAAGAGATCTGCCTTTGCCTCCCAATGCCTCCCAAGTGCTGGGATTAAAGGCGTTTACCACCACCACCACCACCTAGCTAAAATCCTAGCTCCTGGATGCCGAGGCAGGAGGATCTTGAATTGGAGGCCAGCCTGGGCTACACAGAGAGTTTGGGCCACAGGGTATCACCCTGTCTCACACAAACACGATTACTAGCCACCATCTTTTTCCCTTTCCTGGTTTGGAGGCAGTCCCCTGCTCTACAGTCGAGGCTGGCCCCCAGATTGCGAGCCTCCCAAATGCTGCGACCGCAGGTGTGCGCCAGTGCAGTTGATTGGTAACGGTCGTTTCTGTTACTGAGAGTTCAGTGTGTGAGGCAGGCACCAGCACACGGTCTATAAGCA